GGCACTGTGAGAAACAGTCTATTTTAAACTTACATTTCAGTCAAGAGTAAAAGATCAAATGTGTTTATAATTATTGCCATCATGCTAGCTGACAACAGATTGACCTTTTCCTCCACACACCATCCAGCTCCACCAGTATGCATGAGAGCTGCCGTCAGCCAGGTCAAAAAGGATATTTGCAATTGCACAAAGCTGTCTGTCTAACCCTATACATTTAATATTAGCACTGATGAGTGATGCTTGGAGACTCTCCAGCCACAGGTTAGCTGGTGACAGGAATCCCCCCAAGAGTAGGGTAGCTGCTGTGAGTAATTGGTCAGGAACCTGGTGCATACCAAAATATTCAGAAATACGCAGCAGGAGCTTTCCTGCAGGGTCCAAGGGAGTTTGTGCAGCTAATTCAGAGGCTAGAATATGAAAAGTGCATTGTTTTCCTCACTAGCTCACAAAAATAAAATGGGACCGTGCTGACATCATCTGACATCATTATGTGGTTGTCACTCAGTCGCAATTGAACATGTTCAGCCAGGTAGCCCCAGTAGCTGCTGTTGGTGTCCGGGCATGGGGCTGTGGGAGGTGGGAACTGTTAGCTTTTCTTTTTCATGTGTTACTTGCCCTTCCCCTCAGCATGTCATCTTCAAGGCTGACCTTGACCAGGGCTCAGCAAGCCTGTGCATGCTAATGTGCAGCAGAAGGGGTGCCTGCTTTACTTTGGTGCTGGGAGAAAGAAAAGCTACTGCAAAGCTGAGAGTCATTTTCCCTCTTATAATGGTAGCAGCAGGAATGTTGTGTGCCACTGACCCAAAGTTCCCAGGCTGTGGTTGTTACATTTGTTGTTGTAGTATGACTCAGTTATTCTAACACATCAACAAATGTAATCTTTTGTTTGCCCCTTCCTCAGAAAAAGGACTTCTCATCTTCCAGTGACAGACATCTTGGCTCTGACAGAAATTCAAGGTCTTCTACTTTGTGCCTTCGGCCTCCTTAGGCTAGCAAAAGTGCTGATAGTGGAAAAGAAGGTCTTATGAGTACTAGCAAATCCTACATATACATTAAATCCCAACACATTCTGTGTCACAGAGTATGTTGGTAGCCTCTCATAAACTACTTGCACTAGTTTATGTCTCCACTAATGTGTTCCTGAAGCCGGAAGCCCTTTTCAATGCAATGCAAATGGAATAATGTGAAATAAAAACATTCTGGATAAATGTAGGGAGCAGAGTTGTCAGCAACTAGTCAGGAGGAAAGGCAGATCTGGTTTGGGCGTACATTACAGTGTGTAGCTAACAGTGACAGCAGATACGGGAATTGCTCTGGCTTTCTTGGGGAGATACTGACCCAGAATCCACTTGGAGGGAAGAATAACCATTCCCTTTAATGATGCAAAATCAGACTAGGTTGAAAGAGCAGTGACCCCTGTCATATAAAAAAAAACTATTGCCTGTTCTTACTATGACTTTTGTTGGGCAGAAGTTAGTTCACTGAAGCTTGCTCATTTAAGAGTGATAAATATGAGAATGCTTTGTTGCACTCGTTCTTGCCTCCTACCCTGATGAAATGAACTGTCCAGGGGCTCTGGCAAACAGGGAAACCTAAGGGATATTTAACGACATGCAGAAGCTGAAGGGAGACTCATTAGCACTCAAGTGTCTAAGTAACTCTCTTAAAAGCTAAGATGAAAAGCTTTGATGAAAGTGACCTTCATGCTTGATGTTCCCTCTTTGCTTTTCTCCACACTTGAAGCTCTAATAATCACTTTTTTTCCACTTTGTCACTGTATCACTTAATTCATGAAACATTTCCATAGCTCAGCAGGAATTTGGCTAGTAATATCTGCAAGCATTGGATGCATGCAAAACAAAGGCTGATACAAAGGGTCAGATCTTCTCTTTGTAGTGAACTGAACAAAAACTGGACATAGGTTGCTAGATACAGGTTTTTAATATTTTAATTAATACTTGATTATAGGTTTAAGAAAGGATAAAATTATCATCAAATGTTTCTTTGAGTATGCCATGCTGTCCCCTCTGAGCAGTGCAAAAATTTGCTGGTCTAGAGCACAGGGAAAGCATGTTGGGAATGGAAAGAGTATGTACAACGAGGGCCTTGTAACCCTGGGGACTCTTGGGCAGCAGACTGAAAATGCAGTGTGTGCTGAAGGAGGATGACATGTGTAGTCATGTCTAGACCAAATGAGAGGACAGGGAAGAAAGGAGATATGGCATTTGAGTGGAAAGGAAAGAAGAAATAAGGAGAGCATTAAGTGCCAGTAGTCAGACTGGAAGACAAGAGTAAGAAGGAGCCATTTGGGAAGGAGTTCCCTGGAGTAGTTTTCTTTATTTTTGATTTAAAATTGCAGCAGGCTTTTGTAATTGTGACTGAAACTGAAATTAATGGCCCCATTTGAGATACTAGTGCCTACCTGATTGCTTGAAACAGGGAATAGTTTAGGTAAAAACAATGTATCTTTCTTTTAAGATAATTAAAGTTTTATTTTGCTTGAAATTGAACTTTTCATAGGGTGTTAATAGCATAAATCATGCTGATGTTTCTTTAGCTTACAGTGAGCAAAAGAACAAAAAGTTTATTTTCCTGCATTGAAATAATTCTTTTAGCTTATTTTTCATTCTGAATTTTTCATTGAAGTGAAAAAAGAGAAAATAACAGTTTTACCAAAAATTTTGCTTGTGATTTTTGAAGCTCTTAAGTGTTCCTGGAGACGTGGAGGATTCATAACACATTCTAGGGTAGTTTCCTCCTAATATGCATGGAGAAAATCTTCCTCTGATGTCAGCTACAAGTGCATACAGATGAAGGTACGTAACAGGCTTTTTCATTACCTTGCAGAAGTGGTTCTTAGTCTGACTGACCTTGGATGAAGTTTAAAACTCAGAATGGAGTCAGGCTCTTCTCTGTGGTGCCAAGCAATAGGACAAGAGGCAACAAGCAGAAACTGATGCACAGGGAGTTCCACCTGCATATGAGGAAGAACTTCTTTACTGTGTAGGTGACTGTTGCCCAGAGAGGTTGTGGAGTCTCCCTCACTGGAGATATTCAAGAACTGTCTGGATGCAGTGTGCTCTAGGATGACCCTGCTTGAGCAGGGAGGTTCGACCAGATGACCCACTGTGGTCCCTTCCAACCTGCTCCATTCTGTGATTTTGTGTTCACCCTTCGCAGGCAACTGAGATGCCATGTCCCTCTGGTAGGTCTGGCATTGGAGCACCATAGCCTTAGGTAGGTCTGAGTTGATGACAGGTGATGCTGTCAGGCTCCCCTCTACACAGTGAAATGCTTCTTGTCCACTCTGGAGAAGAGCAGTTACCCCTCTACACAGATTGAGCAGCCTTCTGAGTTGATCCAGGCTCCCCTGTGAAATGCTTCTTGTCCACTCTGGAGAAGAGCAGTTACCCCTCCAGGTATCAGAGATGAGCAGTTCCTTCTCCAGATATCCTCAGATTGGAAAAAAGCCCTACGTTTTTAATCAGCAAATAACTTTGGATAAAGCTCAGCTAAAGGGGAAAAGGTGGTATTAATTTTCATAGAGATTGGGTTGTGGAAAAAGTAGCATTATTCTCTCAGAAATTAATTGTAGGTACCCAACTGTCATGTAACCTATTAAGTATGTCAGGATATTTTCATCTTTGTGACTTCATTCCCACTGAGAATTTGTTCAGGACATGTGTTAACTTACAAGTAATATATAAACAAGGTGTGAACAGTTCAGTTAAGTGGTAACCTGAGGTTAAAAACACAGTGATCAAATTCAGTGTCTGAAGTTGGCAGGGAGATTGTCTTACCACCTTGGGAAAACTTGAAATTAAACTTGTTTTGAAATGTAGGTGTTAAGTCTGTGAAAAAAAATCACTTGTGCATCTAAATGAAGCAGCTTTCCGAGTTGAAGAGAGCACGTTGAGCTCTTAGGCTGCCTTAGGAGAGAGAGGGCCTGTGCTCCCACCATGTAACCTTTCTGCTGGGGTTACATTTTGTAGCATCTGTGAGGAGAAAACCTTTAGGTAAAATCAGAGCCGTACTCCCTGTCTGGCTGCCCTCGGCCCCTGTCACCAACAGCAGGTAGGGCTGTGCTGTCAGCTGCTTGAGCTAACAAAGACAACAGCTTTGGGTTTATTTTTGTTGGGCTTCTTAGACCTTATTAACTTGAAGAGAGTTTTTGGAGATACTGAATTTCTGCACTGTGCTTCTGTTTAGCTTTTTGTTCTCCCTGGTGTTGCCTTCAAGTAAATGTATGGGGAGTAGCCTTAAAAGGAGTAAAAATTCCTTCCTGTTTTAGAGTAAACAGGAGGAGAATTAAGCTCCTTCCTGTAGTAATTGGATCTTCTGATTGCCATGGCTTTTGAAGATGATTGTGTATTTTCCTGGATGTAATGGATAATGCATGTGCCTGTGAACTAAAAGGTAGCTTGGCTGTGAAATTCCAATGAGTTTTTCTCTGCAATCATTTTACTCTGGTTATTTACCTTGTAGGCTGACCATGGGCGTATACCATCCTAGCCTACAGCATGAGGCAGGGCAAGTCCAGTTGTTGTGTCTTGCATTCTTCTCAAGCCATAATCCATAGGGACCCTTTGGAAAATGAAAGCCCTTGCAAGGTTACAGTATTGAGGATTCAAATGAATGTGGGAACAGAGGTGAAAGTGGAATGGATGGAAAGCTCCTTAAGCTGGTTGAAGTGTAACCCAGTTCATCTGTGGAGTAAACAGCAGCTTTCTGTCAGCCCTGGTCAGCAAAAAAAAAGCACAGTTGCAGTTGGCTTGTCAGTATCCAACCACTGTCTTCAAAGCTTGTCTGTTGTCTCAAGATTTCTAATCTCAGGGTTTAAATTTGGACGATAGCTGTGTCTCTAGGTCTGTGTTTGTGCAGTAATGCACATGGTATATTTGAAGACCATCCTACCAGCGGACCTCCAAAGCACTCATGATATGTAAACGTTACAATCACTGTTTTGCATAAACCACAAAGCCTTTCCTTTCTTTTGACAGATTGAAGACATCGTTACAAGAATGCAGGATGACAAAACAGGTGGAGTTCCCATCCGCACTGTCAAGAGCTTTCTGTCCAAAATCCCCAGTGTCGTCACTGGTAAGAACCCTGGTTAACAGAGAAGAGAACATAAGCTGGTACTTGCTGACTATAAGCAAACATGCTAAACCACAAAAAAGAAGGAACATAAGGAAAAAATGCCTCCGTCTGCTTAATTTTTCTGCACGTTGTTCTGTTACAGACTGAAGCATTGAACAAATATTTCTTAGTTATGTTTTAATAAGCAAGCATTTATATTTCTTTGGGATGAGTTATTAAAAAATGTTATATAGCTTTTGTGGCTATCAGAGTATCACCAGTCAGAGTCATTCCCTATGACGGGTAGGACAGTCTTAGGCAAGAGGTCAGGAAAGAGAGTTGAAAGTATTTTCTCACTCCTATGCAGATACTCCTACTGGACTTGAATTACAGGTAAAGGAATGTGAAATACCTTTCATGCATGTGTGCTGCTTTATTAAAGCTCTATGTACAAAAATGTGGGCGGAGCAGAAACTGGGAGCGAGAGTACAAAACTGTTCTTCCATGTATTTCCAGACAGAATATCTTCCAGTGCAATGGAGACTTTTGCCATTGATAGATGATGAGTGATTCAGGATGATGTGAATTGTATGGAGGATTTGCATTTGGGTTTCTGGTACCCGTTTTCAAAAGTAGTATTGACTACAGTGGCAAAAAACTATTATTTTCCCTCTCTCCACCAGTAGACCATTGTCCAGTGTGAGATACCCAACTACTCCTGACACTTGAATTTATAATGTTGTGTATCTTTGTAAAGCAAATACAGTTTTCTCTATCTTGCTGAGTCTCTTTCCAAATCAGACCAGATACTCACACTGATGAGTCTGTTTAGGGAAGTTTCCCCTCCTGTTCTGAGAAGTGAGGGGCATCATTCTCTGTGACTGTGATTTCACTGCAGTAAAATTCAAATGGTCATTAAAAATGTAAAAGTTGCATTATTGCATTTAGACACCACCAGTAACTGAGAGAAGACTGGCACTTCAAAGGGATCTTTCTCGCTCTTAGGATTTTTGTCCTATTGTAAAGTAATGGAAAAATTCCTCTTGTCAACAGGGATGCTGGCAGTGCAGCTGGTGTCAAGGCATTGCAAAGAGGGTTCCCTGCAGAGGAACATATGTGATACTTAAAGCACTTAAAAAATGTTTTTACTGTAAAAATTGTTGGACTGAGCAGAGTTTGAAGTTGTTTTGATTGATTCAGGAGAGTGATTTGATTTCCTTGCATCAGAAAAAATGTCCAACTTAAGCTACAGGAATGGAATACAAATCTAAAGGGTTCCTGGGGGTAAGTCAGGCAATATAAAAATTGGAATGACGTTTTTACTTAAAGGCATCTCAGTCCAATTATTTTCTTTTTATTGAGCAACAGACTCTTCTGTTTGAAATTGATTTCAGGGTGGTGACAGTGTAACTGGCAGTTTCAGGGTTAGGGTTTTACAGGGGAAAGAAACATGAATCCAGAATGAGATGTGAAAATTATGTTACTAAATTGCAAGTTATGGCTGGATCAGGTATGAGCTAATTATTCTTGAAGGTTCCTGGGGAAAACAACCAGTTTTCTGATTTGAAAACTTATTGCATAAGCTCAAGTCTGCAATACACAGACTGGATGTCTTAGGATTGACTCAGCTAAAACAGGTTTCTGATATTCCTGTTCATATTCATAGCATTAAAAAAGTAATTGATCTAATCATCAAGGTACCTCATGTTACTCAAAAGAAAAAGGAAACAGGAGACCTCACAGCGTCTTTAAACCATGTTTAGGAGCTCCCTGGCACGATTGAAACTGCTCCTTTGCACTCGTTTCTGGAACAGGAGCTGCAATTGCATTGTCTTGAAATGGTTGGTTTTCACAACACAGGGAATAGTGAGAGGGTAAAGATAAAATAAGAACAAAACCTCTCTCCAAAGCTCACAAAAAATTCTCAGATTTGGAGGGGAACAAGCTCAGTACCATTCCCTTCAGGTGATTTGAAGACACCTCCCTTGTGATGCATGGACAGTGCGTGAAGCTTCTGAGTTTGAAAAGTATGGGAAAATAATAGCCCAGCTGAGAGCCCAAAGTGTTCTCCATTTCTCATTTCTCCTTTCAGATGCATAGACCTGCCTATTTGTAGACCAAACCCAAAAGAAATGTATCTAAAATATCAGTACTTGTGATGGGTGAAGAGGCAACAGCATCTACATTTGAATGGAAGCTGAGGACGCTGCATTCGTTCAGTCTGGGGAAGGAAGAACTGAAGGGAAAGAGAGGTTATAGAGAAGACAGGGTCAGATCCTTTCTCTGGAGTGCATGGTGAAAGCACCAAAGACAATGTACACACGTTGCAGGGAAAGAAATCCCAATTAGATTTAGATTTAGGGGAAAAAGTTATTTATGGTCAGAGCAGCTGAGCATGGGCCCAGTGGCCTGGAGAAGCTGTGGAACCAGTGGTTTGCAGCTGTTCAGGGACCCCTGAGCCCAGCTGAACTGAGCAGTCTGACCCAAATGTGCACTTGGCCTTGCTTTGGATGAAGTTTGCACTAGACAACCTCCAGAGAATCTTTCCAACCTGAACTATTCTTATGATCACTGGATACTCAGTTTTAGTGCTTGTCTAATTCCGCACAAGGTCATGGACACAAGAGGAAGAGCTTGTATTTTCAAAAACGTGGTACCCCCTCTTGGGAAGAGCTTAATTCTAGAGCCTGGCGTTCTCACACACTTTTTATTTCTACCTGAAAAATAAAACAGCAATGCTGAGATGTGATTTACTTGGCAGGCTCACAGTGACTGTGATTAACGGGGATTTATTTTTGCTTGACACTTCTATTGTAATTGCTTCTCATAGGAGAAATGTCAAATCTTAGAGAAAAAGAAATATTACAGGAGTGCTTTGGTGCTCTAAACAGGCAGCTCTGTTTATAGTACAGCAAAGTGGGTGTTTGATTTAAAGTTTGAATACCAGGGAAAGAACTGCTCATCTGTGTTTTGCTTTCATCTGTCCTGATGCCTTAGGTGTGAATGAGGCATTGGGTAATATGATGAGAAGGAGCCTCAGGGAGTTATCATTAATGGTCCTTTCTTGACAACAGGAATCTGGGAAAAAGGATGGAAAAAACTTTTTTGAATGTATGATTAGTCTGTGTGGGGATACTGTGCCAAAGACACATTTTAATCTGCATTAGAAGTAGCTTTGCATACTCACTTCTCCAGCTTTTGGCTCAAAGTAGGTCAGTCAAAGGACGACATATCACACCATTATCTTCTTGGTTAAATCTTCACTTTTACAGGCAAGTCATATAGAATGAAAGTAAGATGGAACCAGTCTGTGTGGCATCTGTGTGCATGTGTCAGACATTGTCCAATGTTAAGTTTCGAGTATGGAGTGAAGAAATGCCTGGGGGCAGGTATTGAGTAGTGTTGTGATCCATGCCCAGAATGGATTGTGAGCCAATGCACATGATGGCAGTTGCTGTAATAAATGGAGTTGTACATTTGTCTTTTAGTGAGAAAAAATTTCCTCGGTAATGATTTTGTTTCTGTAAATGAATTGGCACTTCTCTATTTTCCCAGTCATCAGACTCTTGTAAGAACATCTCATTATACTAACTAGCAACAAAACTGGTTTTCTCATTTTTTTTTTCAATTTTCTTGTAATTGCATCTTAAAACTAACCTCCTTTTTATTAGGAGAACCAAAACCACACTTTCTTCTCCCACTGATACAGACTTGGTCCTATACAACGTTGCCAGAACAAGTCAAAGAGAAGTCAGTGCTGCAACAGCTAAGCTTTCCAGTGCAAAAAGCTGCCTTCATGCTTCCCAGTCTACCCCACGTTCCCAAACTCATTCCAGATTCTCCTGGGGTTTTTTTGTACTGATTCTGTGTACCAGCATCTTTGCTACCATAACCCAAGGGAGACACGCAGCCTAAAATCCTTGCACTATTCTGCCCTCCTCCCAAGAGATTTTGAAACAGCTGCATTCTGACCCATACCCCCAACTTCAAGTGGGCCTGTCCCCATAGCTCCATTTTGAGTGACGCCTCCTCCTCCCAGCAGCAGTCCCCTAGCTGGTCCCTTGCTCGCTCACTGCTCCTCACCCTTACACCAACACTCAGTTCTCTTCTTGCGCTGCTCCCAGAGCTGCTTGAGTGGCTGTGAGCAGACTGATGGGTTATGTCCTGGCTGCACTGTCTTGGATTAACTGCTGCCATGCAAGGTTCATGCACACAGACCTGCCAGTGCATTTCACTCCTGTCCTGTCATGTCTGTCTTATGTAAGTCCTGGACCTCTCTGAGCAGAAAGTGCCAGTATTCCTGAAATGTGCCAGATGGCCTGTCGCTACTCGAGACTCAAGAGCTAAACCAAATTTAAACTGCCGTGTGTCTCTTGTCTGAAGAAGCCAGCATGTGTCTTGGCAAATGCCTGTGGAGTTGTCCCAGAACACATCAGAATGTCACTCACTCAAAGCAAATGCCTTTGGCTGGAGTACAGAAATCCCACAGTGTTGTGAAAGAGAGACTTTATTATTGATAGTGTTCCCCGGTGATGTAGTTCAGGACAGACAAGTTCTGCTGGAGGATTTCATACACCCATTGCGAAATGAGATCCCTTGGAGCCAGTCTTGAGGGTGTTGCCTTTTCCCTTCAGAGGAGCTCAAACACAGCTCTCATCCAGATATGGCAGCCAGAGGCACAAGGGAGAAATTAGTTCCTTGTGTCCAGGGTTTGAAAGGCCCCTGTTCAGATGAACTGTACAAAAAAAAAGATGTTGTGGTGTGGGGAGCAGGACCAGGACTGGCAATGCTGGCCAGAGCCAGTACCCATCACCTAGCAGGTCCTGGAGAGCAGGCTGCAAGGCTGAGTGCTTGGTCAGAATGTTTGCTTTCTTAGTGCCGTTTTTTCAGGGGTAGAACTTGCCTTGGTGCCTTTCAGAAACTACTTTCACTGGGACCAAAACCTCCATGAGCTGACTACAAATGGATTTGTCTTCCCCAGGCTGTCTGTCCAGCTGCTTGCATCGCCTGCCTACAGGGCT